CAACCAGTATGGCATAAAATAATAGCTAATAATCCATATTTTAATAGTATATAAGTTTTAAGTTCTGAATTTTATAAGGTAATATGTGAAAAATTCCTGAATTTCCCCCTAGTGTGAGAAATGTGACACATTTTCTCTAGGCATCCCCTCTTCTCATTTTATTCACCACACCTTCAATACAAAATTGAAAGTAAATTACTCACTACAAAATTGTCATTGCTCAGACAAACCATAATTTTTATAACTTCCAATCTTGTTTGGTTACAGAGCCATCAAACAGAAAACCAGACCCTTTTTACCACACCCACATCCTACCTTTATTAATAGTTCTCTCTTACTCTTAATGCTATATTATGTATGACCAATAGAAAGCCAAGGTTTTCACCTATCAAATGATGTATTATATTACATTGTTTTCTGAACAGAGAATTGTCATTTTCTCTGTTAGTTCAAGCTTCGTTCCCACCTGGATGTTTTTGCCTTGGTAGAATGCACTTGGTAAAATACCTTAATCAATTGATGTCAACATGAATAATTCACACGGTTCTTGTGCCCTAGTCACTTGTTGTGGTTCACTGCAAGCATTTCTGACTAGGTTTTTAACACAGATACAATATCAGGTACAATCCTACGACAAATGAAACATATATGTTCTTCAGAACATACAGTAATACCATACCTTGTCAGGTGCTATACGAATTATTACCGCATTCAACTGTGCCATATTTTCAATTTTGCCCATTTTGTATTACTTTCCTGTTTCATGAGAAAAGAGCATACCTGTTCCAGAAGTAGTGCAGTACCCCACAGGCATGCTTCACTTTCATCTCATAGCACACATGTTCATTCTGGTGGTCGCTTTCTGCTTGTTTTGATATTTGTGCACTTAAACCGACCCCCTCCACCTTTGAAATTTGTGATTCTAGCTTTGTGTGAGGACATTTAAGACTGTTTCAGAAATTAAAATTTTTTTACACTGAAAATGTATTTCTGATAGGTATTTACCTCCACTCACACACTTCCCACCCTTCATCCCCACTGCAGTTGTTTTTATGTTAATACCTGCCAATTCTCGAAAATGAAGACTGAGTGAGAAAAGCAGAGGGAGCTAGCTGGGCCAGTATAGATAGTGCAGTATTATTGGTGGAGAGTAGTCACATGAAATGTACATGTTCTGAGATGGCACAAAACTAATTGGGTATAAATTCTGGTAGACTGATTGCAAAAATGTTTTTAGCAATGCTTAGAGAGTAAACAAAGATTGAGTGTAAGAAAATGTTAACTTTTAATTAAGTTTTAATTTATTTATTCATGAATGGACTTGATCTGGTTTTAGGGTTTTTATTTACAAGTTTTATTTCTCTGTCTCTCTCTATCTCTGTATATAGATTTATCACCATAATGTCAATAAATGAGAAACAAATTCTGCTTGTTTTCATGCAGATTTGTTGGACAGCTACTGCGGCTTCTGGTTTGTCAGAATGAAAAGTTTGGGACACACATCCAGAAACATGTGAAAGAACTGGTAGCTCATGAAATGAGCCCAACCCTCTACCCTATTCTGTTTGATCAGATTAAAGCTATAGTAGAAAAGTTCTTTGACCCACAAGGACAGGTAATTGTAGTTGTATTTTGTCAAAGCTATTATTTATGTTGATATGAAACACTGTATACATTTTTAAGTTGTTTATTGATTGATTCAAATTAGAGTATGCACAGTGTATTTAAACTTGTATGTTTCAGATAGGTTTCATTCAAAATGTATGTGTAAAAAAAAATTTGAAATAGTTATTAATTATTTACTTGCATATTAGGAAAATCATAAAGATGACATAATGAAAGGCTGTATATCCATTTTAAAATTTTAGAAAATTCGTATTTCTTTTAACCCTCAACACGGGTTTAGTTGATTTAACTGACCACATGACCTCTTTGCACTCGTTTAAAGTCTTTAGAGTTTTGATACTACTAACTTTTAATATAGTATGTATATCTTCACAAAATTTGAAAATCTTTCAGTGAACATTATAAGTCTTTCACGTACAAAAAATTGTAGTTTTTAGTGAAGTATTTTTAATATGCTAAAAAATATTTGACCATGAATATATTGAGTATTTGTTTTGAATAGTCTGTATACAAAGTGATTTTTATATTACGATTAAAAATACATTTCTTCATATCAAAAATCTCAAATTTCATTTGTGTAATCTCTAAAACCTCCTAAATATATTTCAAAAGTTTGTTTTCAGTAAAACTTTATATTTTATCTGTAATTTTCTCTACCCTAACTCTAAAGAAGGTTGGTCAATTTGACTGACCTCATAATCATGAAAAAAAAAATTGAAATATAAATTACCATTTTGTTCTTTCTAGAATGGCTTCAAATTGTAACATGAAACTACATTCATTTATCCCAAGTAGCTTGAAACTCGTAACAGTATACATCTATTTATAATTAAATTTCATTGTTTTATTGACATTTGATTGTTCTTTAAACCATGTCTGACTACTACTATTCATGCCATTATAAGTTGTAAATCACTTGGGGAACGTGAAGCTCATGTTACACTATTGAATTACATTACCCATGAGTTACTCTGAACTGCTCACATGCATGCCTCATGAAACATTTTTATTATATTATTATTATTCCATATTTTACCTAATCTAACCTTAACTAGTGTAAAGATATCCCTATTTTTACATTTCAGTTACTTTTATAATACTAAAAAATAAGCATGAAAAACAAGAAATAAAGTACTTACTTGGGTCTTCATTTTCTTTGCTGTCGAACATAGAATAATAACATGCAAAAAAAACAGACAATTTCCTATAACTATCAAAATTTTTCTGCCTTTTTAACTATGCAACAAGAGCCGTTACAAGGTCATCCACGCTAGTCGTTATCTTTCCCCTTATAATGTGTTTCCCGTGGATGTTTTTTGCCCAGGTGGACTGCACTGAACAAAAACGTACTGAATTTATACTAAATTTCCTCTAGAAGTTTTTGCCTGAGTGGACCGCTGTAAGCAAACTAACTTAATCTATTGATGATGTTTTTTGCCTGGGTGAACTGCACTAGCCAATATAACTTCATCACAACAAACATGGCACCATCCCTACTTGCATTTCCCCTGGATATTTTTGCCCAGGTGGCCAGCACTAGCCACTGTACTTTTTTCACTTGTTAATACAAAAAACACCTACTTGAGTTTCCCCTGGATGTTTTTGCCCGGGTGGACCACACCAGTCAATATAACTTTGTCAATTGATGAATACAAACAAGACCCTACTGGAGTTGTTTTTTGCCCAGTTGGACCACACTAGTCAATATCACTTTATCAATTGATAAATACAAATGACCCTTCTGGAGTTTTCCCTGGATGTTTTTTTCCAGGTGGACTTCACTAGATGAAATACCTTAATCAGTTGATAACAACAAACACTCTACTTACGTTTCCCCACCATAATAAAGATGAGCATTTCCAGCCTAACAAGTGTATACTCTTATAAAAAAATGTTTTCAGTATAATCATATTTATTACCATTGATATTTTTTAGTATATAAGTGATATCATTTTTGTCAAGTTTTTATATGGACCGGATTCTTTACAGTAGGTGTCTGTGACTTGTTGGTGATAAATTTCAGTAATAAACAGGCAGCACACAATCCATTTTTTTAAAATAATATATTCAAGACAAGTTAAATGTACAAAAATTGTTAGTTCTAGTATCGTGATGCAGCAATTTAACAATCATTGACTATCGAACTACATAATGTATGCTTTGTACACAGTTATATAAACAAATCTGTTGTAACCATTGCCTCTAAAAAATAACTTAACACTTGCATAATATAAACTATATAATACTCTCAAATTAAAATGAACAATTGTGTATATCTAACAATTTTTTAGTAAAAATCTTTTAATCTTTTTTTTTTGTATACGTTTTTTTTTAACACCTGCCACATGAGCCAGCCCAGCATATTTAGTACTGAGCCTAGGATGGTCAACAGGGAGGTCATTCCAGAAACTGGTGATTTAGGGTTATTTCGATAGATCTCGATGAATGAAGATTGGCACAACTACTAAAACACAACAAAAATTAAATATTAATGTAAATATGACATGATGAAATCTATATGGAATGTACAATGGTAGTTCCCTACTGGGCATTATATCATCCTTTTTATAAGTACTCTTCATTGCAGAAACGACATTTTTAGTTTGAGAATTGCTAAGGAAATCATCTTGTAATGCATTGTGCATCTGCTTCAACTTCAACACTGCATCTTGGCTTTACTGTGCCGTTAGTTTCATAAAATATTAAAACTAATGATTTCTTGTATATTATTCTAGTTCCCATTTTTGAAAATAACAATACTATTGTGCCCATTTTTTGAGGTTTTGATGTCAATGCAGTAACCAATTGACAAATCTTTGATTCAACTGGTATGTCAAATCGATTAGGATATCTTCAAATAAATTCTTCCCTCATCTGACCTGAACCTACAAATTTAATTGCTATACTTAAAGCATCACATTCACAACCACAATTAGAACATTTCAAGCATGTTTCATTGCTACATTATTTTACTTTACATTTACAAGTTAACTTTTCCATGTTAGCTCTCATGGTCTTGGGTCAGGTCACGGGTATGGTCCAGCAACCTAGATCTCGAAAATAGTACCAAATATCTTCTCTTTGTATAGTCAAAACAACCCACACCTTTCCAGAATGAATCTTTTTTTTTAGATCTACATCAAAATGTCGGTCTGGCTCATATGGAAGGTATTAAGATTAAATATATTTTGGTATTTAGTTTAACTTGTAGGTTAAAACATTTCTAAGCAAAGAAATGTTGAAATTTTAAGTGTTAACAATTTCAAGAAATTGTGATTTTGATAATCTACAATAGCTAAAAAATAATAATTTAGCTACAAACATTTACCACATTAGACTTGCTATGTTGAGTTACTTGTCTATCACCAGTTCACATTTAATAACACATTTAATCACACAATATCTAGATAACTGGCTTTTCTAGATTTCTTGTTACCCTCACTGCCAAGACTGATTCTTTTTAATTCATCTTCTTCTATTTAGTGTTTGAATTTGCTTATCCAATTTTATCATGTAAAGTTAAATGTAAATTTAATAAATTGAAGAAGATTGGTTCCAAGTTATGGCCAATTTTTTTTTATATTATTATTATTAATGGTTAATATCTTTTATCCTTACAATATATTATTCACGATTTTATACTTGTACAGGGGCATATCTTACTGTGTACCATGAAATGAATGGACAACATTCTTGAAGTTGCCTCAGTCATACTGGGATATAACTTAGAAAACTTTAAGCAGGAGGAACACTTTGCCCCTCACATTATTGACTTATTTAATTCCTGACTAATGTAAGATGAAGAACATTTGTTAAGGAAGAAGAAACAACAATAATAAAGCAAAACTTGAAACTTTTTGTATCTATTAAACTTGCACTTTGATTTATATTCAGGTTGTATTGATATAAAATATTTAGTATTTAGATACAAGACTGAATTTAGTAATTTAGAATTTCATTTCCTTTGTTATTTTTGGTCACCTTTATCCAGCGTATTTGTTTTCTCCTTGCAGGCATGGGAGGATACATTTTTGAACTGGGAGGCTGTCACAAAACTACTGGTAAGCTACCCAAAAACAAAGTTAGAGGAAGGTCAAATATCTGAGGGTTTTCATCGTACTATAGGCAAGCGGAGAGCTTCTCACCAAAGTGCAGAACATGACTTAGAGGTGAGCTTATACCTATGTAAATATGACTTTAAGTAGAGGTGAGCTTATACCTATGTAAATATGACTTTAAGTAGAGGTGAGCTTAACCCCATGTAAACATAATGAGCATGACTTTAGAGGTGAGCTTAACCCCATGTAAGCAGAACTTAGAGTAGAGCTTATCCCAATGTAAACAGGGGTGAACTTCATAAAAACTGACTTGCAACTGAGCTTATCCCCATATAACTAGGACTTTAGAGGTGAGCTTATCTCAATGTAAGTAGCTTAGTAGTGCAACTATGTAAAGAATTTCTTGATTTTTATATAATATTAAGTATTAATTATCCATGTTTTTATTTTAAATTCTTCATGAGAATGTGTTTCACTACTTTGCATGATAGAGAATAGCATTGTGAAACTTCCCCATACAAACAATAAAAAGAAGGGGTTGTTACCAGCTTCATAACTTTTCAACCACTGCACTATTACAACATGGTGTTAATTTTCTTCTTAATCTTTAGGCAATTTTCAATATTTTACAACATTCGTACAGTGCTAACTAAATAGGCAGTTTGCATTGCACTAGGAGAATCTACAGCAGTATTGATTTAAGATTCTATGTTAGTCATTATTCCAGTAATACTTGTTCACTGTTAGCTAAATGATCAATTTGTGTTCCACTAGGAAAAAAGTACAACAGTATTGATTTAAGACACTATGTTAGACATTGCTTTAGCGACATATTGTTCAGTGGAATATATGGGCAGTTTGTGTTATATTAAAAGAAAATATAACACTATAGATTTAAGATACCATGTCAGACAGTATTTTAGTAATACGTGTTCAATGGAAACTAAATGGGTAGTTTGTTTTGCACTAGTAGAAATTATAGTAGTATTGATTTAAGATACTATATTAGAAATATTTTAATAACTTATTTTTAATTAGAAACTAAATGGACAGTTTGTGTTACACTAGGATAAATGCAACAGTATGGATTTAAAATACTATGTTAGACTATTTAAGTAACATTTGTTCAGTGGAAACTAAATTGGCAGCTTGTGTTACACTGCTAAATATCACAGAAGTACTATTGTAAAATAGTATCTGTTATGCCTATACAGTGTTAATGGTAGGAAAGTGACAGTTGAATGAAGTAAATGTTTCACCTGGTCTTTTCCTTGTGCACATGAGAAGTCAATATAGACCTGTAGGTACATGGGTTGTACTAGATGGCTTTGTTTTATTTGTCATCCATGCTTCATGAAATACTGTGGGAAATTTACAAATATGTGTATGATAGTGATTCAAAAAGGTTTGATAAATCACATAAAAAATTACAAAAACTGCATTCTTGACAAGAGGGACCTCTTATCTGCAGGAGTTAGAACTTTATCCTCATAGAAGATAGATCCACTTGTTGAAAATATTAAGGTTTTATTTTTTATGTGAATTACAGAAAACTTGCATATATATATATATATATAGGGATAACAATTGGGCAGTATAGATTGCTATGATTTTCAGTTTTGTTGTTGCCCATAATTTATCAAATGTTCTGAGAACTTCCATATATCTCCCGCTGTAGCATGTCGGATGGTATTTGATTACTCTGTGTTTGTTATTTTTCACTTGTGCTTTATCAGGTTTTACAATAAATTTCTATTAGTCTCTCTTTCAATTTTTCTCAATGGAAGTTTTAATAGTCTCCTACTGTGCATTATGATTTAGGAAGAAGCTGTAGAACTTGGGCTTTTTTTTTTACTTGTTACAAAATCTTCGACTTCCACAAGCCATAAGATGTTTTTTTTTTAGTGTGTGTGTGTTGATTGTTAGTATTTAATGAACTTTATTTTCCACCTTACCAAACTTTACATTCATTTTTAACACATTTTAAAATTCAATTGATACAACTTCTTTTTTTTTTTCATTTTCTGAGTATGAGTGATCATCTGTGAAAAATCACAATAACATATCCTTCCCATCAAGAATCTATAAATATGTAAATTAAACAGACACTAACTGTACCTTTTATTACCAGCACATTTACACTTGAACTTACACATATATTGAGCTTGATTCCGATTTTTGCCTCAAATAATGTTATATTGTTATGTGTAGGTGACTAGAATAGGAATTTATGTAACGCCACCCTCTTTTGTTTTTTGTGTTAATGTTTAAAAGCTTTATCATTCATGACAGGACCAGCTGAATGTGTGGGCCAACATGACTGGATTTTTATGTGCTTTGGGAGGGGTCTGCTTGCAGAGAAAATCTCTGTCTAGGCCTAGGTGAGTTTGGTAGTTGAGTAAAAATTTTTTAGTTCTTCCTAAAGTTTATGTTATGTTTGTAAAAATGAAATAATATTTTAGTAGTCAATGAAATTCAAATTTTTGGACACGTTGCATCATACATTTATGGATAAGTGAGTATTTAATATTCATCTTAGGAATAGATTAATATATTCTTCTGTTTTTAAAGCAAGTGTTGTGTCATTAGATAAAATGAAAGGTTTAATGGTTCAAAAGTGTAAGTAATCTGTAGAAATAAAAATACCAAGACTTAAAATTTTTGAGTTAGCCTGCTTATATATGGTAATGAAAAATAACTTTATTAATTATAAAAAATAAGAATCTCAGAATTTATGTTGACAATGATAGTTTGTATTTTTTTCTTTCCCTTTTTTTGGTAGATATTTTAGCTTTTACTATTTTTGTGTTATAAAGCTCTTTGATTTAATATTGTGAATTTTGTTTTTATTTTGTTGAGATTCTGGTCTTCATTTGTCTTAGTGATTTCTCTAGTTCCTTCTAAGTTAGTGCATGGCAAATGATCTTTTGGTTTACTAATCTTTTGGATACATTCTCTATTTAATGGTTCTATGCTCTACCTTTTTCTTGTAGATGAACTAACAACCTGTTTTGTTACTTGTTTAACCAGGACCTCGCTATACCTTTACAGTATGCCACACTCATCATTGTCACTTGATTCTCGAAAGAGCAGTATGCTGACCACTGGTCAAGATACTCAGTATTGTCCAGTCACTCAGTAAGTATAATAACGTGATCTGTATATTAGATACTTTAGGTCTGTATATTAAGAACTGTCACTTTCTTTGTTAGAGTTTAATAGTTTGTGTGAACCATGAAGATGTCAACTCAGTGTTTTGTGAATTACTAAGAAACACAAGCAGATATCAGGTCTTATACAAAGAAAGTATGGAAAGAAATGATAATGGATATTTTTACAGTTTTTATCAATGTGTTTTATGGATAAGGAAATAACTTTGATTTTGAAACAAAACATATTGAACTATCTTTGTTTATAGCTTCTGTTCACAATTGATACAACATCATTCCATGAAACTTACTGGTAAAATATCATCAAATACTTACCAAAAACAGTATCATGACTATGAATTTTGTGTTGTCATCTTGAATGGTGATGCATAGGCTTAAATGATCAAGCCAGAGAACCCCAATGGCTCAGGTATAGCTATCCCTCAATTAGATCTGCTGACTAAAGAAAGAGCAACCAGTTACCAGCATCTGTTACTTATGCAGCTACTTTTGAACTAAATTGTAGGATTGACTGTCTCATTTGTAACACACACACACCCCACATCTGAAAAAGCATATCTTGATTTAAACTTGGAACTTTCTGTCAGCAACCAGAATGCTTAACACTAGATCGTATCCATCCTGTTGTATTACAAGCTGCCTCAAAGCCACAGTAATTAAATCCTTCATTATGTCATTGTTCTGTATTTATGAAAGACTATTAAACTAATATCACTCAGTATTAATATGAACACCTTAACCATGGTGTATAAAACAACTTGTTATATTGTTTCAATTCATGTAAACTTATTAAAGCCATCAGAACAATCCTTGGTGGTTAACTGCACTAAGCATTGTTGCTACTCAGTTTAATTTGGTAATGTTTTGTGTCTTTGCTGTATGGCTGAATATTTCATGACTATTTTGTTACAGTGTTTTCCTGTGTGTTTAGGAACTTGCAAAAGGAAGAAATATGTTAGTATACTAAATAAACTATAAATCCACTGTATATTTAACAATAAAGTGTAGTTCTTATATTTTTTCTAATTTTTCTATTTACTTCTGAAATGGCCTTACCTTTCTCTCACACAAAGCTATCTTGATCTTTGTTTGTCCTCTAAACATTGCTAAAACATTTTTTTGCCATCAGCACACCAGTCTTTATACCCCATCAATTTCTGCCATTTCAGAACATGTACATATCATGTGACTATTCTCCACCAGTAGTATTGTGCCATCTATACTGTTGCAGTTAACTCCCTCTGCCATTTCCACTCAATCCTCACTTTCTTGATTGACACAGCGTTGTTTAGATGTGTACTTTTCACATGTGGCTACAGTTTATAAACATGCTTCCTTGCCATTTAAATTTTTTTTCAACAGTTTTATTTTACTGTGTTTGCATTCACTTGTTTGAACTTTTTTTTTGGGGGGGGGGGGTCATTTATTTCTTGTAACCGAATTACAAGAAATCATAGTATGAATTTGCAATTAATATAAGTAACGACTTTCCAGGAATGGAGTTCAACTTTATCTGCTGAAAAGGTACAGGCCTTAATTCACGGAGAGCTTGTTTCATATATTCAGACAGCAGTTTCTTTTTCTTTTTATGTGACAGTGTTTCTGAATAAGAATATAATCAATGAATAAACACATCGGACTCATTTTTTCTGGCACGTTCCACCAGCTGCTGTGCCGTCATGTCATTCTCTTTGGTGAAGAATTGTTCTCCTCCCCAAGGGATCTGTGATAAGTTTTTCAACATGTACAATTCACACCTGTTTGATATACCTGTGGTAGGCTCAGTTCAGATGCTCTTTGTGTGGCTTTGCACCTACTTACACATGGGAGAATTATGTATTTGACATCATCAGTGGTTGGACTTTTGATAAGTTAGGCTTATAAGTACTTTGTTAACTAGGTATTTTTAGTTAGCTTGTACTTTACATGTCATTACTACTAGTAACATATAATTCATTGTTCTACGTGAATAATTTTTTTTTTGTTAATGTTAACTATGTGCCTTATCATCCTAATTTTCCTCAGTGTAGGACTCACTTATATGTTCTTTGTTGTATAGGTTAATTTCGATGACTAGTAACTTGGATATTGATTACTAATGTGTTTTCTAGGTAATTTTAGTAGATTAGCACATTCATTATCATTACATACTTTGTGGACTAGATAAATTTTGATGGTTTGTCCATTTGAAATTGGCCCGGTAGGGCCATGTGGTTAGGGTGCTCAACTCGCAATCTGAGGGTCACAGGTTTGAATCCCTGTCTCACCAAACATGCTCGCCCTTTCAGCCATGGGGGCATTATAATTTGATGGTCAATCCCACTATTCATTGGTAAAAAAGTAGCCCAAGACTTGGCGGTTTTGTCTAGCTGCCTTCCCTCTTGTCCCACGCTGCTAACTTAGAGATGGCTAGCACAGCTTGCCCTCGTGTAGCTTTGTGTGAAATTCAAAACCAAACCATTTGAAATTTATCATGTTAGATATCTTTACTACTAGTAATATCTAATTCATTGTTCAAATTAGAATTTTTTATTTATTTTTTTCATCAGTGTGGGACTTAAATTTTTGATTTCTTACATCACTGAAATGTTCATTTCTTTCATGTTCATAGGGCTGAGCTGGTCTTTGGCTCCTTTTGCTACGTTTGTGATCCTAGAAACTTCATTTTCGCCTCTTAATCTATGATTCAGTGTTCTTCCTCACAGTGCCCACTTTGTCAATATTTATTTATTGCTCTGAGTTGAGTTTTCCAGTTCAGAGCCCTACTAATCTTGGCTCTTTAAGTATTTTGTTGGGGGTGTACAAACTCATGCCCGACATATTCACTCAATGAGTCTTTGCACACTTCCTTCTAGAGATGACTGTTCCAGCTTGCTCCCTTCTGTTCACAGTGGATCAGTGGAGCTTCTTGGATCCGTGCTTTGGTGGTTATACAGAGACTGGACAACAGTGGGAGTGCTACTTACTCCACCTTGTCAGGATTTACATCTGTTTATGTACTCATCTTTAGAGAGTTGGGGTTCTTACCTCTACTCCTGGTTGATTTCTGTTCTCTGGTCGATTACAGAGTCTTCTTTCCATATCATGTTTCTTGAGACTTTAGTAGTTCATTGAGCTTTGACCCTCTTCCTTCCTCTCCTATGGAAGATGGTGGTTATGGTGCATTCTGACATCTCTACAGTGGTCAATTATATCACTGACCCAGGGGTTACAAATTCCAAGTCTCTGTGCTTTATAATTATGGATCTACTTTCTGGGCCCACAGTCACCACATTGTGGTCTTAGCCTGCATTTTTCCTGGCTCCCTGAATCTGGTGATGGATCAGTTATTTTCCCCCAACAAGATTCTCCTCAAGGAGTAGCCCCTCATTACACAGATGTCACCACTCTCAGTCTTCACGCATGGCCTTTGTCAGGTCCATTGTCTCAGTCCGGGAACTGACTCCACGTGTTGTATATTTCCTTGTCCAATCCATTAGACCTTCTTCCATGTCCATTTACCATGGACAGCAGTATACCTTCCTACTTTGGTCTCTTCACCATGGATTATGTCCTCACCACCCTTCTGTTCCTCATTTTTCCATATTCTTTGCCCACTTGTTTGACAGAGGCTTGTCCACTTTGCCCATGTCTAGCTATTGGACAGCCTTGTCGACCTCCTTCTGTTTCTCCAAATTTCATCTGGTTTTGCCTTCCTCTATTCTTTTCCATTCCTTTGAATTACCTATTGGGTTCTCATTGTTGTCCTTGATGCTCTTTCTCATCCTCCATTTAGACGTTTGTTTTCCTGTTCTGTTTACCTTCTCTTCCTCGGGACCTATTTCCTTCTTGTCCTTGCTTGCAGACATCTTCATTCAGATATTTATGCTTTTAATGTTACCCACATCCTTTACCATTCCTCCTATGTCATCCTCTATCCCAATCGTTCCTTCATCCCGAGGACCTTTGCTGCAAGTTTAGGTGGTTTCCCTTTTCCAACTTTTCCTCCCATTCAGTTCCTGTTTGGTTTCCTTATCCAGTTCACTCCTTGAGGATATATGTGATACGTAGTGTATCCTTTCGGGATTCATGATCCCAACCTTTTATTCCCTGGAACTTTTCCGTTTCCTGTTCTCCGTCCCCTGTCTAGCTTACTGGTTGGGTTCGTTTACTCATTAGACTGGTGTATTTGGATTTATTCATTGAAGGTCACCATCTCCACAATGTTCTTCTTATCAGATTCATCACATCACTATGTTCTTTGCTGCACCACTTTGACATCCCTTGGAATAGATCGTTCAAGCTGGAATGTGGACTATTACTAATACCTTCATCGCTCATTATCTGCAAGACCTGGCTGTATCTTCCACTAGTGGATATCATCGAACTCCCATGGCAGTTCTACACATGTCAGTTCACCTTTGACAGGGGTAAGTCTGATCACTTCCTTTCTTTTATGTTTTCTTTTCAGCTTCCCTAATTGTCACTTCTACTTTACTGATCCCACCTTGTGGTGGGTGTTGCTTGGTCAGATATGCTTTGCCTCAAACCTGCACTAGTTCAGAGTAACCATATGATGCTCAATGTAGAGATGTGGTGTTTCTGTAAGACTACTGGCTGCTTACCCAGTGGTATATGTGTATGTGTATATATATATATATATATACACTAGATATCAATCAATTTCAATCTGTGGTGGACTTCATGAGTAAAGCAGAAGGGGGTTTCTGCCCATCCCTGCTGATCCTTTGATTGCATAAATCAGGGTCGTTCTACTTTTTAAAATAGGGAATAGCAGGCACCCATTGCACAGTCTCCAGTGTGACATTCCTCCAGACTTCCCACCACATTCCCCCCTCCCTTTTTTTTCTTCTAGTGGAGCATGGCAGTCCTTACTACTCCAAGTTACCTGTAATTGAGGTGTTGGACCATGGAGGCCTCCTCATGAGAGAGTTTCGATATCTACTTTACAATACTCATGTTTATCCACTCAGTGAAAAGAGGGTGAAACTGGTTTAACTACTTCTAGACAAAGTAACTTCATCAAGAGCAATAAAATTGATAACATAGACATAGTGTATATTTGTAAATGCATTTCCTTTTCTAATACAAAACCAAGATGAATAAGTGTAAAACAGTCCTTTTCAGGCCACACTTACCTGAGAGCATCCCTGAGTGCAGTGTTCTATTTTCCTGAGCAGAGCCATAATTCGTTTCTGTAAAGCAGCTCGTCCTAGGGGTGTAAATAAACAGTTGCAACTTTAATGAATAAGAATAAAATATATATGCTATTAACCCTTTTGTTTGTTGATTTGCATTCAAAATTTTATTTAACTACTATTTCATGAACTTATGTCAATGATTTTGGTATCAAACTGTAGATTATAATTCAAATTTTAGTACTATACATTACTCAATTTCTTAACTTAAAGTAAATATTACAAAACAGATAAATATCGATTTTTGTGTACCATGTGGCATGTTGAATGCAGCACTGGATCAAATTAGATGTTTGTGAAGTCAAAATAATAAGTCTATAGTTTCATACGAATTAGAAACTCAAATTACCGATATTGACATGCTAGAATATAATATAAGGTGTTATCTTTTCTATTTGCTAAGATATTGCTCATATAATAAATCAAACACAGTGGCACCTCACCCACTTCTTTCCATTTTTGGAAATGCTCCCTTATATACACTTACTTCTATATATGATATGAATAACCAATTGGAAGCTCAGAATGTTCCCCTAGTCACTTTCTTAGCCATTTTAAATTCTTAGGATGCCATTTCTTTCTTTTGAACCAATATTTCATGTAGGTAGGGTGAGTCTTTAGTCTGCTCGAAATTTAATATATTTTTAGACTAAAATAC